GAAGATCGCCAGCGAGACCGCAGTCGCGACCGTGATCGTGGCACATGGACGGACTGGAGCCAGGGGTGGACCTGGCAGAAAAACCGATCTTGGCAGAGCGAAGACCGTGAGGACCGTCGCCCCAACCGTCGCTATGATGAGCCCGCGCGCCCCCAAGGAGAGTGGGGACGGCGCACAGAGCAGAGGGAAGAGGCCCGCACGGACCGCCCAGATCACCGCGCCGACCCGAGAGGATAGAGGGAGGGGAGACCGCAGCCGGCCCCCTACCCAGCAGAGGCGGCAGGACCGCCAAGCGGATCGTGACACAACGGCCCAACGCGACCAAAGACCGCCCACGCCGCCAGACAGCCCCAGGAAGAGGCGCCAACCGGCCAGGGGCAGTGCCGAGGAAGCCGGCCCCCCGCCTTTGCCCAGAGGACCCCCGCAATCGCGCAAGCAGTGCCAGGCTCAATGCGAGCGCTGGCGCAGCATCTGTGAACTGCTGCGCCACCTGCGGGCCGGCGGGCGGTGGAGCACCTCGAAAGCTTCATTGACAGGGGCCACACGAGGAATCAGCACGACCGTTTCCACAAACCAGGGTCGAAGGCCAAGGGCCTCCCCTCCTACGGGAACTGGAACCTGAGCTTCTTTGCTTTCCTGATGGCAGGAGAAACCATCGGTCCCCAGGAGACCTCGAAGGAGGCTACCTATGGCTCGGCCATAGAAGGGTGGATCTCAGTTTTGTACGATGAAGAAGAAGATGATTTCATTCGGGAAATCCTGGACAGTGTGATCCAAGGACTAAATCTGGTGATGGAGCTGTTTGAGGAAACGCCCTCCCAGTTGCACGATAATGTGCATTGGAAGACCAATGAGCCGGACTTTGATCGTGTCATGAGACACTATTACCCTCGCGAGATCCCCAAGGGGATGGAGCCGAAGGCGGCCCCCACGGGTGATCAGTCCGAGGAAGACGCCCCAAGAGGGATGATCGTCGTGGAGAACACCAAGGGATCCGCCAACCGGACCCAGAGGTGGAATGGACAGAGGACGAGGAGTGGGAGTCCACCGAAGGGGAGGAAGCCGAGGATCCGGCCCCCACAGCCCCAGTGGCCCCTGAGACCCCAGCTGACTCCCGCCTCAAACAGGAGCAAGACGAAAAGCTCGATCTTGCAGCCCTCGGGGTTTATGAGGAAGGGGTCGAGGCAGTCCCGATGACGCCTCCTCCGGCCCAGCAGAGCCTGAGGTTCTCCCCCTACCTTTTCGAGTACCCCTCTTGGCGGCTGGCGTACAAGTACGACACCAAGGTTTCCAAGAGGCTATCGGTCGTGCTCAGACACGACAAAGGCGAATTTAGCCTTCACTTTTATCCCAACGCCACTGCTGATCTTGATGCGATCCTTGATCTCAGCATCATGCAGGAAGTCCAAGCACGACAGGACACCATCATCTCCTGCGTGTATTACAATAGTAAGCAAAGATTCCGCTTACTTTGGCTACATGACCCCAACAGATCCGGCCCCGTATTGGTCTTGGGTGCCGTACAGGGTCATTCTCGTGCCGTGGACTACGACTCGGTGCACGAGCGGGTAGACCCAGGTGGGGTCCCCGATTTGATTCATGGTACCCACTACGCCTTCTACAAGAAGATCTACAAAGAGGGTCTGTTACCGGGGGCTGGAAATCGTGATTATCGTGATCAAGTACATCTCCTTCCAGCGACCACCGACCTCGGCAGCAAACTGCTGCCGCCCAAGTGCGACATCGTTCTGCACATCAACCCGGCCCTTGCTAAGGGGTGCCGTTTTTACAAAAGTGCAAATGGATATTACCTCACGGGTGAACCTATTGGTCCCCAGGCCATCTCGGCCGTGACGATCAAGGAAACCAAGGAAAGGGTCGAGGCCGAGACCGACGGCTCCCCTCCTTTGCCGTCTATAGTTTTGCAGGCCCTGCTGCGAAATCAGCTTGGGGGCCGCCGTCCGACGGCCAATGCACAGTCTTCGGTGCTAACTTTCCTTTGGGGCTCTTAGGCAAGGTATGTCATCCCATGGGGGCTATGCAACGTCCATGCCCTTCAAAGGCATGACCTCGTGCACCAGGGTGTGCCATGCCCGGATGTTGAGATACTCACAAAGTATTGGCATGTTTACATCGCACCGAAACCACAATTCACGGAGCGCCCGGTGAAACTTCTGNNGTGAAACATACCGGTGAAACATAAAATATGGTGAAATGCAATATCGAAATCATCACTTGGGTCTGGAGACAAGGCCCGGAGCTTGAGCCAAGAGTTTGAGCCGGGAGTGTGAGAGTCACTGTTAGCAGAATAAAGGGCAAGAGTTTTTGCCAGGTATGTGCAGGGCAGAATGAGCGGATGTTCACGCCAAGCTTTGAGCCAAGAGTTTGAGCCCGAGCATAGGATTTAGGGTTTGGGTTTAAGGGCGGCTTAGGGCCTGTAATTACAAAAATCCAAAACATATTGCCCAATTGTTATGTGGGCGGCGAGCTATCGGACATGGACTGATAAATTATTGCCCAAAATGTTATGTGGGCGGCGAGCTATTTGACATGTACTGATAAATTATTGCCCAAATGTTATGTGGGCGGCGAGATATCTGACAAAAACTTATAAACAAAATTATTGCCCAAAATGCTATGTGGGCGGCGAGCTATCGGACATGGAGTGATAAATTATTGCCCAAATGTTATGTGGGCGGCGAGCTATCTGACAAAACCTGATAAAAATTGTTGCCGAATTGATAAAAACTGATACAAGCTGTCGCGACTGTCGCGACACTCTGTCTCAAGATCACTCAGCATGCCAAAAGGAAACTTCCAAATTGTTTGCGACGAGCCACACAGCTGATGCCACCAAGTAAGCGGTCTGATGGACTCACACATAGTCCATGAAAACGGTACCTTCAACTGCTGCCTGCCGGGATGGAAAGCCACAGAGCTACTTCAGCGACACACGACAACAACCAACATGATAGTTCAGTTCGGCAGGGCTGCTGCAGCTGCAGGTGAGGCCCCACGACAGGGTCTAGATATCGCGATGGGCGATGCAGCGAAAATCGGCAAATAGACTGTGCAATGTCACGCCTTCTTCATAACGATAACAATACGTATCAAAGCTATCGCCAGTGCCAGCTGCATCACGTCATCGTGAAGCCCTGCCTCGCCCTTTGCGCCACTCAGGCTTTCCCGAGAGACGACTTGTTACTTGTAACACTCA